AAAAGACGTCAGTGGTTTTGTCGACAAGGGAAGCACACTTAAATCACGTCTGTTGGCAAGTGTGAAAACGCAAAACTGTGCGCATACATGCAATAAAATTTACCCAAACCTATTAAATCTGCCCTGTCTAATTTGTTTTGTTCATTTTGTACCAAAAGATTGAAAGTGGGAACAGGAAATTGCGAGCGATGTTTGCGTAAAGTAGGTTTAGCCAATCTTAGCGTGGGGTTGTGCTGAAAACTAGATCAAAAGCAACGACTTTCGTGACATCAATCCTCCTTTTCTTTTAACTTGTCTGGAATCTGGGTTACTACGAGGCAATCGCGAAAGTACCAGATTCTGTGTTGCAAGTGGAACATTTCCTGGTCAACAACTTCGCTTAAACAGATAGCAAATGTTTATTGGCATTTTTCTAGTTTCTGGTCATCACATGGCAAATTCTGAATAATACATTTGTTGCCAACTGTTTGAACAAACTAGCAAAAATAGCTGCATGCACATTGTCGAAAGTCTAAAATCAATATATTCTGATAGGATTTCCCAAGTATACCAGTCATTCATGTAGATGCTACGGCCCTATGTTTGTGCTGTAGTTCTTTTTCTACACTTATTTCAGAATGACGTGAATATGCACAGCTCACGAACCTAGAAAGTCCAGTTCGATTACTCCTGGCTCGTTGAGGGTTCATTTATTGCCTGAAGGATAATATTTGTGTGTTAATTATATGCGAATCCGTCTTTCGACACGCCGTAAGAGACCTCATATGGCAAAGGCACAGGCCCACACACACACACACACAAGCGTGTGATTGCGCCCTCGCCTGCCTATTCGCGCGATCGATAAATATGTGCGGACGTGCTGCGCGCCGAGGCTAACGAGATGACATAACGCCAAGAGAATGTGCGTGAACCACGTCGGTGCACGCGAGTTAGACAGCGCTACGGTGATGAATAGATGCTCAAGTTTAATAAAATAAATTTACTTCTTTTGTCTTTATACAAAAAGCATGCAAGGGGATCAGTCACGCACACACACGCACATTCCGTAAATGCAAAGTATGTCTGAGATCTCGAGTCCGAATCCGACCGGCGGAAGAAAGGGAAATGGTTTAAGATGAGGTATTAAATCCTCCTGTACAGTCGACGACGAAACCTCACCGAGCCAATTTTATGGAAACGGCAGAGATTTGGGGTAAGGGGAGTCGGGGGAAATATCAGGGGTAAGGCTTACTGGTTCACCAGTGCTACAAGCTGGAGAAAGGTCGGGAGTATTGAGGCAGATTCTCGGCGGAATTCGACAGTAGTCGAGGGTTTCACAGTTCTCTGCTCGTACGTACTCTAGTGCCTCGGGTAGGTCCCAGTTTAGGCACTTTAACAACTTCTCGCAAGCTGACTTCGACGCGAAGCCCGTTCGACAGAGCAGCTCAAGCTTCAGTCGGTGCTGGGCCTTTTCAAAATCCCAGCTTGAGCCGATGAGGACAGCGCGACACTCGTCTTCTGTGGCGCTGGGGACGAGTATTCGCAGTTTGCTAACTAAATTACGCTGAACCGTTTGAAGAAACTCCTTGCTGTTTTCAGATCGACCTCTACGGAGGTTGGTGGGTCTTGTCACCTCAACGTCCATGTTGGAGCCTGGTGATGAGCATGTGGAAGAATAGGAGACGTTTTCATAGTGCTGGTTGTCGTTCAGAAGCTTCGCCGAAAAGCTCGTGGGTCTACCGCTGAATAAACGGTCGGTGCTGAAGTCTCGGTTGGCCCTCAGTGTTACGCGCGTGTGACCGCTGCATTCGGACTTGTGGTGCCATAGCTTGGAGCGACGTTTTGGAGGGTTAATGATCCAGTAGTGTGTATCACTAATTTTCACTCCGTTCTGCATCACTGGGTAGATTCGGACATCTTCATAGTTTTCGTCATCAAAACGACCCACATAACTGCTTGCCTGCGAATACATCGACGTGGCCACCGAGGTCGTATCCATGGGAGACGACGAAGTCTGTAATTGAGACGACTCAGAGACGTCCTGGGACCTTTGAAGAGCAGACTTCAGCCACGCTGGACACGCTCTTGGTGGTGGCGGTGGAACGACTGATTCTGCGTCGAGTTCTTCCAGCATTGGATGGCGGTAGGTAGCTGGAGATGCGTTGTGAATGTCATCCGGCGAATCTGATCCTTCATTGACCTCCTCTCTTTCATATGAAAGGGAGGAAGCAATTGTACCGGTTTCGGAAACAATAGAAGGTCTGTGATGCCTGCTGGAAGGGAATAGTGGACTCCATCGGGAAGTTTCGTTCTTCTCGTATTCAGTCGCTTTGGGCTTAGGCAGTCGACAGGAGTGGAAAAATTTTGATTTTGCACGATTAAAGCCCTTAAAACAATCTGTTTTGACTTGAGGTGAGGGTAGAGCAACACTCTCAGGCATTGGGGCAGTTACCTTTGCCTTTTCAATCTGGGACCGCTTAGGCATCGACTTTGTTCGCCGCAGTTTCTCAAAAGCCAAATTGTGCCCCAAGAGACTTCGTTCCTTAAGTGAGTTGCCACTACCCGAGATGAGGTACGCATTGTCGACAATCGTTTCTGAGTCCATTCGTTGGTAAAATGATGAACAAAGTCTGCCTTTCTGGAACGCGTGTATACCGTAAACGGCCGCGTGCATGCGAGAACTGACGAATCGCGTCACGCGTGCAGCCTATTGGCTAACTGCTAACCAATGACGTACCGCGAGGCGTGATCGATGGCAACGCGGGCTTTAGGAAAATCAGGTGATAAAATTGTGGGCGGTGTCTGTAGCCTGTGGTGGGGAACACGTTTCTGGTGTCTGCAAATACCGTGATGCTTGCGAAAAGAACCTGAGCAATATACTTTAATATCTAAGGTAACTGAAAAATATGAGAACGTGTGGTTTGCAACAACGTACCTCGGCTTGTAGTAAATAATTTCACGCTACATTTAGCTAAAAAAAGCCTTATTTTACCTGACTGAAAAACACGATCGAACACTTAGGTAATGGAGTAGGAGGTTAAACTGCCGATTTTTGGCAGAATAGAAGTTGGGTTAATTTTCAGCATGCGTTAAATCTTTGTCGTGGAAACTCAATGATTGTTCAAGATAATGAAACTACAAGATCGCGTTATTAGTGGATTGGGTGGCGGTCTTTTCTGCTTATAACACTGCCGGTTTAACGTGATCTAAGTTAAGGACACGCCGAGGTCAATGCACTACCATCATGGATTCAAAAACGATCTTCTTTAGATTCCTGATCAAAATGTCCTGTCAACCGGAATAAAAAATTGATCAATTTGGTGAAAGCAAGTGAAACAGATTACCAAAATAACCTTGTGAAAGCAGTTGATTCGGTCGTGTGATTGGACGCTTAAACGATGCAGCAGGTGTCGACCACTGTTTGGGTTAATTGGAGTCGTTTGGACGAATTTGGCAATTTTCTCATTAAACCATGTTCGAGAGGCTGTCGTGAATCCTGTTTATTCG